CATCAGTGGATTTAAATTTATAATCCCTGTGGTACTACATCTATGTCAAATGAATTTTTAAATGAGATCTCAATTTGAATGTTACTTACATGCTTGAAATCACATATTGATAACATTTACTATTGTTACTGGTATTCATTTACAAGTTATACAAATTATAATATTCAATTTTAATACTTTCTGCTTCTTTCAGTACACCTTACAGCAAGATCCCACTCTAGACCAATACGGACAGAGGCCAATGCCTGCAAATGTTTTGTAAGTTTTGTTGTTGTTGTTGTTGTTGTTGTTTCTTCTCTTGACGCTTTTCAAGAAGCGTCTGTATGATTCCATTTATTGATAGGATTGCACTTAGATTTTAACGAAACAATGGCTATTAATGAGTAAATTTATCGTGAGAAATTAAATATGAAATGAATCATATACATGTAATAAAATAAGTTTCTTAATTCAGATTATTCAATTAACACAAGTCGATACATGTTTTTTGTTTAAATTCGCAACAAAAAGTGACTGTTGTACATTGTATTTTTATGTTTCATTTTATTTTCTATTTTATATTTTAGTGCCCGGTACAGGGACACCTACCCTCAGTACAGTAGGAATATTGCTTCTGAAGCCTGGAGATAAGTTTTCAATCAAGCATCATTCAATCATTTTATTTTCATGAATAAATCAAACCTGACTGGAATTGTGTGTTCTTTGTTAAACTGGACAAAACTAAAATGAAGAATATATACGGGAAAATGAATGAAAATGTGATTTTTTACATAGTAGCTACCACTATTTCATCTGAAATGTGCGCTTTATTTATAGAAAGCATATTTCTTTTCTAAAATCTATGGATGGCCGATGTGTAATTATAAAATCTAACTTGTTCTATTGAGTGATAGTATGATGTGTTTAGTAAATAAATATATTGTCACATTAGCGCAATAACGAGTTAAGTCTTATTAAATATAGAAGGACTTAACCCTTTACTGCACTAAGGTGACGAATTATGTCAGTCTATATGCCCAAATATTTCCGTTTTCGTGAAGAAATACATGTGCACTGAGTGATAAATTTACTACTATATGTTTTATACAATGTATTTTTATTATAATCAGAATTGTTAAGTAGACGGTTGTCTGGTGGGCACCGTTTTAGAACAATTAGACCCATGTCCCAAACTTTCGGAAATAGTATAATATTATATAGACTGTTGCGTAGACTACTCTCATTTGCTGTGAATTCCTTTTAAGTTTTTCGATGAAAGGAACACGATGTGTGAGCAGTATTTGCAAAACTTAGAAACAACTGATTTGTTCTGATGATTTTAAAAAGTGTAATCGATTATTTTATCTATTATTATACATTGTAATTATTATTATTTCAAGGATAAACGTTTCGAAAATCTATAATCAAATTTTCGGTTAAAAGGTAGGGATGTTGCTCTATCTTTTATTTCGAATTTATTACGTTTGTCTTATTGCTTAGCATCTATAGGTGTTTTGATAATTTTATAAAGAGGGTACAATTTTTTTTCAGTATTACTATTTTCTCTTTTTACAAAACAGTATTAAAATATGTTTGAATTGTCAAATCTATGAATGAATTGTGTACAGTAAAGTTAAACAAATTTATTTAAATTTTCGTAGAGGCAATATATTATATATTTATATAGTTCTTTTTATCACAGTATACTTAAGAATGCCACAAATTTGGCAAACTCCTACGCAGTGGTCGCCCTTTGCTTCGCAACTTTCAGCGTAGCCGAGGAGTTTGCCAATTTGGCTGGTGTTGCTCCCCTTGATTTTCAAGTTGTAAGGGAGATAATCGTTAGGACGGCAATCTTATATTATATAGAACTTAATTACCCGCATGATTTATTTGATGAGCTCAAACGCACAGGCTGCCTATGTGTTTATAACAATCTTAACTCTCGTTAATGTCATTTTATTTACAAAATGGCGCCTTAATAGTATTAAGTATTATTTGTTCTTGTTGATTTTCTATGTCTGTGATAATCTTTTACTTGTTATTCAATACTTGTTTTTTTATATTGAAACCCCTATTACCAGTATTAAAACCAGAAATCTACTGGTCTCACACCATGTACAATGCTTGTAACGTTCAGTATTACATTGTATTTTTGTTACACATATTTCTCGAGTGTGCATGTTTTATATTGAATCAAAGTGTACTTTATATAAAAAAAAGTATTAAATCAGTGTTATGCTCAGTAAAAAAAAGAAATTTATCATATTTGTTATTTTTCTTTTTTTCTTCCCTTTTGAAAAACATGCATGCCTGTGTATTTGCATTATCTACAATGCAAATCCTGCGAAAAATATCCTATTGACTGTAGCAACACTTTATTCAACATTAATAAATCAGCGAATTATGAAAAAATGAGATGGTGACAGATATGGGAAGATCACAGTCCTTCTTTTCAGAACCATCTATAGATTTGTTGATTTACATACCATCAAATCCTGCAACAACCAAGGAACTTATAAAGTTTTACAATGGATGTCTGCTAATAAATTTGTACATGTGAATGCAAGTGAATCCAATCAGAATCTTAAAGCCTTCATTTATTTTCTACCATGCAAGAACTATTTTAATAATTTGAATCCTCTCTCAAATGCAAGCATTATGAATATATCATTATTCATCGTGTGATTCTAGAGAGAGAAAAATATAGATGATTCTGGTTGCCTTTGATTTCAATTACCTTATACAAAATCTATTTGAGTTTGATATAACCACACCCTTGAATACGTTCCTTGAACCAACTGGTATTGAGCAAGGAAATAATAGCTTGCTGCAGACAGGGTTTTAATCCACACAGCCAGCCATCCAACGACGACTACATGGACTAGTACAATGCGTTAACCACTTAACCATGCTGCCACTGTACTGTACTGTCCTGTACTGTCCTGTACTGTCCTGTACTGTCCTGTCCTGTACTGTACTGTCCTGTCATTTGTAAACCTGACAGTGTTTATATGAACATAAATGAAGCTCTTCTGTCAGCCAATTCAATTAAAATCACCAATTATCTCCCCTTATACCCTGAAAATAACTGAAATTATCAGCCTCCGATATAACTTAACATTAACATAATAAGACGACAACATATGTCTTAACTTTAAATAAAATAAGAACCCAAACATGTATATCAAATTTATGCTTTTATTTCAACAAAGCACATATACAAAAATACATTCATAAACAGGTAACAGGTAAATCATATGAATAGTGATCTTATTGCTTTTTGATAAATAAAATGTTTTTCTTCTTCAAACATTAATATTATGAATAAAATCTTCACTTAAACCTTCATTAATCTTAAAATTCTGAAGAATTCAAGGGCAGAATTCACGTAATTTCAATTAATAAACACATAATCGTAAACCCCTATTTTTTTATTTATTCAATTTTTTTTTTCATATTCTGTAGAATCTATTTGTGCAAAGATTAAACCAAAGTTAAAAGATTAAACCAATCTTAAGAGATAGTTTTTATTCTGTCTTACTGAAAACTGTAGCAGGTGTCTTTAATTTAGCAAACCAGATAAAATTAAACTAGATTAATTTAATCATGTTCTCTGAATGAAATGCTTTTACCATGTTTATCTAAATCACATAGTTTTCTTTAATTTGTTAAGGTCAGTTCATTCAATTTATATTATAATGAGCCATGTTCTGTTAACTCAAACAAGCTGTAAAAGGTACTGATAAATTATAAATACTAAGCCTGTAATATCTAGATAGCCTGTAATAACCTAGACAAGGGGCATTTCTGAAAATGCAAATTTATAATTTTTCATGTATCAACAGGTTAACAAACTGATTAACAATTTTTCTTCATATTTTGCTTCAACAAAATTCATTCTGTTTTTAAAAATACAGGAGCACCGCTTTAGGTGTTAATGCTTTAGGTGTTAATGCTCATCTAGAAAAAAAATTTTAAGTTAAACAGAGGCATAACTAAAAAAATAGTTCTTTCAGAATTATGCCCCTTGTCCAACAACTGCACCTTGTTATAATACGCAAGCATTTTAAGTTTCATGTTTATAACTGTGTTTGAATAATGGGCTACATTGAAGTTTCTGCATAACAACAACAACTCGGCATCATAAAAGCTCGACTTTTTCTTCAGAACAGACAAGCTAAAAATTTATATATCCATCAAAACTTTGAAACAGAAATGAAAAACAATGCATAAGATATTGAGGAAGTCAAACTTTTAAATTCCACAGAAAACATGGAATATTGGCGACCATTATATATACATTAACATGATTAAATACAATCAATAAAGCAAGAGCTGTCAGTGTGACAGTGTGCTCAACTATTCTTAGCACTTGATAGTAAAACAAGTGCCTGGATAATGTAGAATTTTTTAAGTTCAGAAAGGGCCATATTTGTGTCAAAAACAATGTAAGAGTCATGGGCTTCAGACAGTAACCTCCTATTATACTCACAAATAACTGTGTGAAGTTTCAACCCATTCTCTTCAGTAGTTCTGGAGATACATACTTGCACACAAAAACTTAACCAAAGTGTAACGCCTATGTGAGTACAATAGTTCTCCCTAATCTTTGAATAGTCAATCTTATAATCAATTTAATCATGAATTCAGACAAACAAAAAATAGAACTCCAGGAAAAAAACATTCTTATGCATAAAACGTTTACCTCATGCAAGAATTTACAGTCACTTAAAAATGTTACAGTAAACTGGACATTTACATTTATATATTCACAGCAAATGGACAGAATATATATACACCTATGTTACAAACATGAATAATTAAACTGTCCAATTCTTTATTAAAATATTTACCCAAAGGTAAAAATGTACGTACTTGTATAACAAAACTTTGACAAATAAAACAAACCTATCAAGTAAGAATTATATAAAAATCATATTCTATGATGAAACAGACATTAAAGTGTTTGAATCTGTTATATATTACGATATATAGATGATATTGAATGAGTGTAGGTTCAATACTGAATTTATTGAAGGAGTAAGATAAGATATTCTTATGCGAGCCTCTGGCAAGCTAAATATTATTTTATTCAACGAGTTCAATAAATTCAGTAATGAACCTGCACAAATATAATATTCAATTTATCACATACCCAAAATAAAGACTGTTTAAAGTGAAAAAGAATCATTTGTCATTGACGTGCCTATAGTATAACACTAACATTTAGCGTGTCTTACACTATGTTTGTATAACGCAACTGACGTCACATCAAAATATCTGCACGGCCGTGCAATAGCTAGTACACATTTAAATCTCTGTAAGAAATAATAATTTTGTAAAACCGAAGACATCAAAACTACACAAATTTTATAATACAAAAGTAATTTTAAATCAATAACTATCTCAGCTTCCCTACATTCAATTTTAGACAGAAACCTTGAATTTCTTCCCATTAATATTGGCATCATCTTATGATGAAATAAACATCACTGTATAAACTGATTAAATTCAGTTATCAATCTAAACATGTAAAATTACATCACTGATATACTCCTGTTTTGAGGGCAATAACAAAACATCAAGCACCCAAGCAATAAAGTAATGTTGATACATTCATAGACTTTTTTTACACGGGCAATACATGTGTTTAGCTACATAAATTCAACCCACTCTGAAGAAAAACAAGTGACCTTGACAGACCACCCCCCTAAAAAAATCATTTTTAACATTTAAAGAAATATCAAAATACTGTCAAAGAGGTAGGCTGTTGTTTTACCATATTACATACACATGTTAATAATATTTTTTCTGTTTGTAATGTAATTCAACACATGTATATGATATACATGCATTTA